GACTAGATCATATGCATTGATAATTTGATCCATACTCTACATTGTTTGTAGTTATACTAATTATGCATTTGAGCTTCATCACACAAACTATATATCCTCCTTCGACTTGAAACTTGTGGCCGGTTGTAGGTACCATTAACAATACCGGTTGGAATTTTGACTACCCCGTAAGATCACCCCGGAGAATGCTATGCTATCATCGATGGAATGGAGCAAGGCAGTTTGTGAATTTCATTTGGATTTGCATGTGTGATGTAGTACGAACTCATCCTAGTAATTAGTAACTAAGCAATGGTTTCAACTTTCACGGGGAACTTGGATTTGTATGTGTGACCAAGAACGATAAAACAGTACCGAAAAGTTAGTGGTAGAGTATTTTGTGTTGAATCCGTGGTGTACCTGTCATTTCAGTTGTTTCACTGCGGGGAAAACAATCTGAAACCATGCTGCTCAGATTCAATTAAATATCCAGACAACCCAGACAAATATCCAGACAACCCAGACAAATTATTTAAAATAACTATCAGTTCCTTAGTAAAAAGTATTAAAATCTTTTCAAAAATTATCCACAACACACAAACAAATATCTATTATTTGTACCCTAACCCTAAACCCTAAAATTTAAACTCTATCACCCTAATCACTAAACTATAAAAAAATAAAACTATTATTGTTTTCCCAAGCTGATAATATTCAAAGGTTCCAGAAAAATATCCAAACACATGAACAAAGGGAATATTTCCTCGGGTTCAAATAAATATCCAAACAACCCGGAAAAAAATCAAAATAATTTGAATAAATATCAATATGTCAGAAACAAGTATTACAACTAGGAAACACAAGTATCCACAACACACAAACTAATATATAATATTTGTACCCTAAACCCTAAACCCTAAACCCTAAAACCTAAACCCTAAACTTTAAACTCTATCACCCTAATCACTAAACACTAAAAAAATAAAACTATTATTGTTTTCCCAAGCTGAGAATATTCAAAGGTTCCACACAAATATCCAAACACATGAACTAAGGGAATGTTTCCTCAGGTTCAAATAAACTCTATAACCCTAAACCCTAAACCCTGAACCCTAAACCCTAAACAATGAACACTACTAAATAAACTCTAAAAACAATATAATTAGGAAAGAATAGATATTCATATTGACCAGACTAAATCTTAAACCCTAAAGAGAACCCAAACCCTTATGTTGAAACCTTAACCCTAACCTCTATACCGTAAACCGTAAACCATAAACCAAACCTAAACCATCAACCCTAAAAAATAAACTATAAACAATAAAAACTATTATTATTTAATGGGCCTTCGGCCCATGGGCCCTCGGCGGGCAGCCCTAACTAAGGTTGCAAGCCTTATGTGTTAGGACTTGATAGTGTGTAGGACTTGCTAGTGTGTTTAATTTGATGTAAGACACAATATTCCAATCTTTCACAAATTGAAAACCAGAACTCTAAACCCAAAAACTAATTCTCTAAATTGGTGTAATCAGTTTATGGTGGTTGGGTGATTTTGGGCCGCCGTTAAACATTAGTCTAATGATGGATATTGTTTTGCGAAGGAATAATACGACCCAAAATTTCAACAATGATGCAAAGCAATATCAACATAACATAAACTAATATCGAATGAGAACAAATAAATATCCACACAAACAACACATACATAATACTAACATGGGCCCATCAAATTTGGTTCTCTTTCCACTTCTATCCATTCTCCCGCCCAAAACTCAAGCCGGACCCACAAGCCCACCACGCCACTTGCAGCCATTCTCCGCCGCCGCCACATGCTGGGCCGGCTTCTACCTATTGGCCCACCTACAGCTCACTTAAGTGAGCCACTACCAAGCCGCCTCTCCCCTCCATTGGATCAAATACCCGCCGACGTGGCCCTTCATCCTGCCCTGTTAGTATATGCTAACACTTTGAGCAGTTAGCAGAATAACTTCTGCGTACGTTGACATCGACTTATGCAGCCAACATAGCAAAGTTGTGGACCGGTTTAGTCCGTTGGTCCAAGTCAAATAAGTAGATTGAGCATATCGTATTAAATTCGGATATATGAAAAAGTAATTATATTTCTTATAGATTTATAAAATTATATCAAATCTCATTTACATATGGATGGTAACATATAACACTAAACCAAAATAACAATTTGTATTTTGATCAAACATATAAGGAAAATTCATACACTCTCATACAACATCTATATTCAAATGTTCAACTTAAAATTCAAAAAGTAGGATTAGGCGAAGCGGAAAATCAGAAAATAAGCACAATTCAAAGAGAAAAATGACTTCATGTGACCTCCAGCCCGGAAACCATGTTGCGGGTCAACCCAGTGGGTGTCTAGCGCCCGTTTTCTAATCAGGTCAGGTTTAATCCATAGGTCGACTCACATGCTGACAACCTTGCAAAATACTGATTGGGGTTGATCGAGTGGGCCAAACCCATGTTGGTTCAGTTTCGTGGGTGAAAAGTCACCTCGGGTAGGGTAATTTCAGGTAAAATATTGACCCAACTATTTTGGTTTCGGGTCGGGTTACGGGTTATACGCGCTCTCAGAAACAGTATCAAACATGCTTCATATATTTTTAAAGAATACACATCTTCACATATGCATGGTAATAGTTTACATAACACATGTCAATTAACATATTCTCAAATCCTCTCATGCTAATGAAATGAAATACAAATTGCACAAATCGTCAAAAAACAATTACAAGAGTAATATATAACTAAAAGAAACACATGATATTTGATTATATTTCAACTCCAAACATTTCTTTCAAATCCTTGTAATTTTTTTTAAACATACCACCAATTTATGAGTGATTTTTTAAGCATCTCATCAGACGGGATACCTAGTCTCATTTGGAGAGCAATCTCCATCTCATGTCCCAAACCCGTATGAGTTAACGGGTACCTGTCAGAAACACATTTATTTGGGATTCATTTGTCATTTATTATTATTCGGATATTTGATGTTAGGTCGGGAATTATTGAGAGGTTATTCGGTCAAGTTAATTATTCAGGTGGTTAGACGGAATTAGACGGAATATATATATATATATATATATATAGGTGGCTACTTCGGTGCATTCATTTTTTTGGGTGCACTCAGTGCACCCAACTCTAAAAGCGTCCATAATACATCAAATTTTAAACTTTAATTAGTACTCTCAATATAATATGATGATATGACATAGAATCATAACAAATCAATCCATTACCCTAACCCCTTAACCTTCAATTTTAAATCTCAACCCAAAATCCCAAATTGTAAACCTAAACCCTAACCCTAAATCCCTAAATCCTTCAAATTAAAGTAAATTTTGAATGAATTTTTTTCAAATTCATGTGTTTCTTGTTCATAATATCATAAGCAACAATTGATACCGTTTTGACATGAATCGCATGGTCAGAATGACAATTATGAGACGGGTGCACTGAGTGCACCCGAAAAAGTGGGTGCACCGAATACGCAACCATATACATATGGGGAGTTCTACGGTACCTAGGGTGAAATCCGGGGTACCACATACCTTGAGTAAGAAAACGCTATCCAAAACTTGAATTGATTGATCTTTCGGACATGATACTATACTCTAACCCTTAAAGATCAAAATCTAGGTCTTAATTCTCTAAATCTTATACCCCAAGATCAATTTAATTAGAAACAATAATCGACGGTTATGATTCGTCCAAATATAGGCAAAAAGTCAATGAACCATCTTAGGGTTTATAGTTTATGATTTAGATAATTAGGACCTAGGGTTCACTCATTAAGGTTTAGGGTATAGTATAATTCCCAAAAATCCTGCTAATTCGAGGTCTAGATAGCATTTTCATACTCAAGGTATGTGGTACCCAGGATTTCACCCGGGGTACCGTAGAAGGCACCACATATATATATATTGTGTTAGGAGAAGGTTAGAGGCAAGCAATAACACAATAATTATTCCTAAACCTATCTCTCTCTCAACCCTAGCCGAATTCTTCATCTCTCTCCTCTCCTTGCCGTCGGCCACTCCCTCCCCAAGAACCGACCTCTGCTTCTCTCTTACCTAAATCCCAATTCTTTCTAATCCAAATCCCCAATCCCTATATCGATCCCAACCCTAAATCGAACACCTAGATTCGTAGTTCTGTCAGTACCCATTACCCGTACGGGACGGATAACGGATACCCATACTATCCGTAAATACCGTCCAATTTGGAGTAGGAGAAAATCCATCTCAGAAAAGAAATTTGACTATTAGAATCTGCTCTGCTTCTCTTCTAATGTCATTGTGATATCGAATTGATCCCGATTAAGATATAAATGTTAGAACCTGCTCTGCTTCTTTTCTATTGTAATATATCAAAGTCGAATTTGCCGATGTCACAAAATTTAACACACTGATCCATGCAATCTTTGTTGCATATATTCTCCACAGCTAAAAAATGGTGATGATTGTCAACAACAAATGGGATTAGTAGCAGCAGAGTTATAGTGGTAGTGGTGGGCTGGTCATATATTTGTCTCCCCCGATGCGACGTATATTTTGGATTAATGGGTATAACGGGTAGCCGTGATATCCAAACGGTTATTAACGGGTAACTCGCGGATATCCAAATTAGTAATTCTTGATCCCAATTCTCATCTTGTGAAAAAATTTACGGGTATTTGGGTACCCGTAACCCTCAAAAAATGGGATGGCTACGAATATACCCAAATACCCATTGCTCATCCCTAATATTGGGAGTTACATATGAAATGAAACGGGTCTAACGAGTCGACCCGCTAACCCACCCAACCCAACTGAAAAAATTACGAGTTCATCGGATTCGGATCATTTAGATTTCGGGTTATAAAAACTTCAATTTTACGGGCGGATTAGAATCGGGTCAACGGGTCGAATTGTAATTTGCCAGGTCTACAAGAGAATTCAGTGTAATGTAATTCTTTAAGACCTAAGGGCTTAGAGCCTAGAGGCCGTCAATTAATGTGCCATGTAACGAGGTAAATGCAACCCAAAATTATTGAGAGCCTAATGTCAATCCTTTAGTTTCCCGGTTATCACTTTAAAATGGAAATTGTACGAGAATCTAACAAGGTACCGAAGCCTGGTTCTTGCAGCATTGCCGAGCTGGAAATTGGGACAAATTCCAATACCTGAATTATGGCAGCAAGTGACGAAGACGATGGAAGTGTCCATAGAGTACAAAGAACCACCATTTCAGTTAAAAAGCTTGCCTTCTTTATGCTAAGCTAGTACAAGATTTCCATGGACATCAAAGCAAAATTCTTCCCTCGCTGGAACTTCCCCAAGGAACAACACTAAGAACGCTGACAAATAATATACTCGCCGACAAACAACCTTCTGCATGAACAACACACAAAGCAGATTGACTAACCTGCTTTCTAGGGGCTTCCTCCGTCTCTGCAATTCCAATCAAACCAGAGAAACCATTCTTCTGCTAATATTCGTCGATGAAGTGCATACAACTCTAACTCCATCGGCACACAATTCCTTTCTGGTCTACATGTAAAATGATCATGTTATTAACAATTCAACCTCCTCCAGAGCCAGCAATTCCGGACCCCACTGCTCCACTCGAGGGAGTAGATGAACCATTTTCTTGCGACACAAAATCCGTGTCAGTATCACCGGACTGGCGCTCCTGTTCTTGATCAGGGAAAACCTCGGACTGAAGTGATGGAGCAATGTTGTTCACATGCAGCCAAGTAAGCTCCCACAAGCTATCCCCGCCAAGAGCACTCCTTTGGACCAGCACTCCTTTCGTCTTCATCGTGACTAAAACGTTATTGAGAAGATCCACCACTGCCTCCTGAAGCTTCTCGCTCTTCTTCCCTCTAATCTTCGCCTTCACGTACTTCTCCATCCTGCTCATTACTCCCAGCCACAGCTTGCAGAACGTCGTTGTCCGTGCTAGTTCTTCTAGAAGCTGCAGAAACACTCTTCCCAAAAGCTTCAAGGCAATGACAAGTGTCCCTTCCATGTTTCTGTAGTCCTTCTGCGAGTGCCCTCCAGCAATCTCGAGCAAGTCATCCAGCATTGTGAAAATCACCATGTCAAAGCATTGTAACCACGAACTGTGTTGCAGGTTGATAGTACCCTCAACTCCCGTCAGACATTTTTGCAAGGATAGAATAGCATGGTTTCTAACCTCTTCTCTTTGATCCAGACAAACTTTCCTCAGCCCTTGTATCAATCTCAACCACATCTCGCCTTTATCTTCAGTAGACCACCGAGTTAAGCAATTAACAGAACCCGACATTAGATCTAGCGCTGTCAACGACCTTTCGACTTGACCCACTCGAGATTCTGCAAACTGCCTTGCCGAATCGATACAGAGGATGAAATTAGCTGGTGACAGGTGTGCGCCACCACTACTCATGATGAATAGTAGAGCATCAAATCCTGCCTCAGAAGCTTCTGGATGACGAGCTGTGATTGAGAGAAGGGAAGTGATCGTCCGCCATCCTGCTACAGATTTTATGTGAGTGGCATTAGCTTTAACCAGGCGGCTGACTTCCTGTGTGATTTGCTCGCAGTAAGCATCAGCAACACGTGCATCAAGCTTCAAGACAAGGTTAAGGGACCTCAGGAGTTCATCGGCTAGGTTTTCTTTGTAAGGGAGCAGCCTCTGGCATATCCGTAGGAGGCCAAACACAGCCTTCTCAACCAGAGCACAAGGCATCACAGTTGATTGGACAATATTGGAAATGTGGTCATACACACCTTGCCATAATAAAGCGATTCTGTCTCGGTTGTTCAGAGTTATTGCAATAAGCAGCTCGAGGCAGAATACTGCTGTATCTTCATCTTCTGGAGAACTATTACCCTTTTGTGGGCGACCTGCTGCCCATATTAATGCTCGTGCAAGCTGGAGTAAAGATTCAGCTTGCAAGAATTTGCTCTCAGTGAATATACTATCGACATGACACTTTTGAATGGTTTGAAGTGTCCTCTGGTGAGCCGCAAGTTGTTGCTCGGAGGGTTGTGATCTTGGATCTTCGGTGTCGAGAGATAATAGTTGACTGAATCTACCCATTAATCCAGATGATCTCCTGGGAGTTCCGATTGTTTGCATTTGAACGGAAGACAACACGGAGTTAGTAATGGGCTTAGGTTCAGCAGCAGAAGTTTCTGATTCATCGGCAGCAGCATCAGTAGCCACACGGGCAGGCAGGAGACCGAGTTTGTGCAATCTCAGAATGCAGTCAAGAATATTTCTCCATCCAGTGCGTATATAGTCGCCGTACCTGTTTGCAATGGTGAAAACCGTCACAGTTGCCATTCTTGCCTTTGCATCATCACCAAACGCTAGCACCGGTTCCTCGACCGATGATGATGATGGGTTCAGAAGAGTAGTGAACTTGCAGAGAGAGACAACTAGGTCATCCAGTACATCTTCGAGATGATGGCAAGCTGAGATTCTGGCAATGGCTAGAAAGCCATCAATGCACGTCTGGTAAACTTCTTCATGTTCTGCATGGTCAAACACAACAGAGATGGCAGCTATTGTTGGACCCGACATTATTGCAAACATATCGTGATCAAGGTAGGCTGTAGAATCAGAAGCAATGTAAGGTGGGGATTTTTTGGACTTGTGCATCAGGTCGATCCACCGGCTAGGTGTCATTTCAGCAAAACCAGCACCTTGTTCCGGGGTTGTTCGGATCTCGTTCTTGCAAATCGAGTGAAAAAGTTCACAGAGGAATTCTCGAGGCAAATCCTGGCCTCCATTGATATGCCGATTGTTCCGGATGAAATCCTCTTCGGTCATCTTTTTCTTCACCTGTACATTGTGCTGATCAGTATTGAGCATTATGATTGAGTAGGACAGCAAAAGGGCTGCATCTTTGTTAGCTAAAATCTGTGGTGACTGCTCATAGTATCTCTCAGAAAAAGCCTCAAGCACCCTTTGAATTTTCTGTGATTCACCTGGCAGCCTAAAAGTTTCTAAGAACAACCTGAGAGCTGTATCCAGATTCATATCTTGAAAATCAAACGTCCAGGCAAACTCATGAAGAACCTGAACACAAAACTCATCATGATTTCCAAGGAAGTCTCCAACAAGGTTTTTGTCCAATCCGGCTGTGTATCTGAAGAAGCAAGCCACACTTTGTGGGTCGAGCTTTTCAGGCAAGAGATGTGTTCCTTGAAGAAATTCCAGCCCTTTCTTGGGATCACGATTAAAATGGTCAGCTCCAATCATAAGCCTTCTCTTGATGTACTTTCTCCTACGGGCAAAAGGAACCCAATGACTAGGATCATTGTAGTTGTCACACTTCACCATCCAGAATGGTGTATACTCCTCAAGGTGCACGGGAACCTGTTCAGGATTACCAGGTCCATTTCCTATCCTATCAGCCATCCCCTGAATAACAGCAATCAGACCATCCAAAGCAAGAATATGCATTGCAGACAAAGGGCAGTTGACAGGGAATGCACTTTTTGCCAACAAATTGGCGAGTTCTTCAAACACATTGCTGCATGTTATGTCACAATCCAAGTTCGCATACATCTCCACCATGAAAGTCTTCTGTCTGCAGAAATCTACAAGAGCTTCCATAGCAACCTCTTGCTGCGGATATGATGCACCATATCTGCTCTCTGCTAGTCTCAAAACCACACAAGAGAAGAAAGCCTCGAGTTGTAGTTTAATCTCAGAACGCAAGTGATGGTACAGGTTCAGAACTATGCTACACACCATTGAGAGAATGAGTGGGCTCATTGACAAGCCAAACTGCATCAGATTCTGGAATAGTTCATCCTGAATCAAAGTCAGTAACCTGGGGTGATGGCGTACAGAAGGTCCAGCCAATTCTACGGCTGAATTTATTAGACCCAAGGAGAAAAAGGGTACATCTTCATCAAATGAAATAGTATTTGATCTGGGACCTGTTCCCGTATGCTCAACAGCATTTAGTAACGAACACAAAAAATGGAATATTTCCACCATGCAAGGAACTCCATATGGCTCTGTCATAAGGTGCAGATCATAAGAAAAGGCATCCTTTCCACCACTACCTGCACCTATTGAGATCTCTTCCATGGTACTTGACACAATGGCTGTGGAATTGGTATTTAGGCTCACAGAGGTTGACTGACCATCAACTTCAGAGCTACTGTTGCCATTTTCCATTTGTTTGCTTCCAAAAGCATGATTGTTATCTGGCCCACCAATCTGTTGAAGTGGAAACGAAAGACTCATATAGACCTTTTTAAGAATAAATGTTAACCTAACACAGAGTCATATAGACCATAAAGAAAATATGTAAACTTCACCTCTAGGATCTAAGATAAATAAGTTCTGTTATTATACATAACCTAAGCCAGAAAGCACTAAGTGATTTTCAGAACAGGCATTCTCGCACAGTGTACCGAAGACAATACTAAACTACAATAAATTGCACAGCTTAACATATTACACAAGAAACAGAAAGTCTTGAAGTATCTCTTAGGTGTTGGTGTTCATTATGTGGGGTGGTGAAGGATGAAACTGAAGAAGAATCATGTTGGTGTTCGTTATAAGAAGGAAATAATATGATTGGGAAATTTTGACAGTCCCAGAGACTAGCATTGCATAGAATCATTTAAATTTTTTCCTTAATAGAGCACCCTTCCAGAAAGCATTAAATGAATCCCACCAGAGTCCAGTAATGTTTATCTACTGGGTTCTTTTGCTTCTCTCACACCAATAGACATTATGAAATAGAGAAAATAGAAATAAGAAATTATACCTCTGGCATGACAGTACTAACTCCATTCACCAATGCACGCTCAGTATTGTCAACATCAGGAAGGTGCGAGAAAATACATCTAATAAGTTCATTCATTGTGAGCCGAGCCATCCGTTGCAACAGCTCACCTTTGTTTCCAGCTTGATGAACTATCCGGAAACAAGTGTTCACGATTGTACAAACATGTTGATTGCTCAACATTACTGATGCTTTACTCTTCATGCAAGCCAGAAGAACCTGAAGAATTTTCATCAGAACAACTTCCTCAGATGCAGGATCTGTCAACTCAAATCGACAACAAGTCACTGCATCAACAACCAAGTGCATTGCATCTTCCACGTTCACAGTATTTGGATCAATCACATCAAGTGTCAGGATCTTGTAAACAGATGATAAAGCAACCCCTGTAATTGGTGCGCCAGTTTCATCCGACCGAATCACTTCCAAGAATGGTTGGAGATACACAGCTGGATTAATGGTCTGCCAGGGATGCTGCCATGAGAAGATCTGCTTCCTCAACGCCTTCAAAGACTGTATGAGAGAGTGTTCTAGTTGATCATCACCTGACATATATCGGCCACCCCATCTTACATTCCTCCGCATGACGGACAAAACAGCACCTACTTCTACATTTATCATGCAAGCTAAAGTAGTTTTGTTAGCATAGGCTGCTTCCAAGTCTTCAGGCTCTTCCTCAATTGACTTGATCGCTGGCTGCATCTTTAGCCGCCCCATCCCTAACCCAGCACTCGATCCAAACCTTCCTTAATGCTACAAGTTGAGTCACCACTATTCACCAAACACGCTATACCTTTTCTGAACCATAGCCTTTAGAGCTGCAAGGAAGAATAGGGTAGTCTAGTTAGCCACCAACAAGCAGAACTCTTTTTTTTTATGAAATGCTCTAAAAACCTAAACTTAACCACCCAACAAAAATTTTCATAGAAAAGCATCACAATCTCAGAATGAAACACCGGTGCCCACCCACTACAAGCTAAACTCCACTCCCAACACTGGAATCATAATACTAAGTCGTGGCGCATAAATGCAGGTACAACATCAGGAGATCACCACGCACCAAGCTGAGTTAATGACCCTGCCAGATCTAATTCCTTCAGTACAGAGACTAAAGGAAGTAGCCGCAAAAGGAAAGCCACTCTGAAACTACAGATTCATAATTTGATTAATTTCAAAAGAAATCACACTCTAAATTGAAGAGGAAAAAAAAGAACCCCATAACAAATCACAATACAGCTCCTCAGTTAGTCGATCACATTTCCAAGAGACATCCCGGAAACAAATTGAAAATAAAAATAAACTAAAAGAGAAGTTTCCAAACAAAGATCGAACCTGGGAAGCAAGAATTTTGCGGCGTAGGAAGGAGGATTGGAGTTGAATAGATCGAAGAGAAATGGAATTGCGCACACGACTGCGGAGAGGATTGAGCGATCAGAAGCAGCAAGTAGTAGCAGCGGCTCCCTGGCTAAGTTCTGTCTCCTGCTCTGTAGCTATCCCCCGCACCTGGACTCCGTTTGAGCAGAGCAGAGAGCGAAGACGAGGAAAAAAATGAACAGTGGAAGAAAGACTCTTGGAAGAAAAAAAGTTGAAAAGGAAAAGTAGATTAATGTTAGGCAAAATACACTTGTATAGCCATAACTTTCACGTTTGTGACAAATATAGCCATAATTATTTGAAAACACAAAATAGCCAATTCCGTCCATCTTTTTAACGGAGTCATCTAACGTTATGACTGGACTAACGGAAAATGCTGAGTTGTCAATATTTTATCAATAATAATATAGGGTGGAATTAACTGAAAACAAAATAATAATTAATTAATTTTTTATTATTCTCTCTCCTCTTTCTCTTCTTTCCTCTTCCGCCACAAAAAATGCATCCCTCTTCTCAATTCCAGATCTGCTCTTCCCCACGGTGGCGGTTGTTGTCATCGCCGGTTTCGACTCCCGTTCCCGGATCCCAACCTCATCAGAGCATTGGCGGTTGAAAACCCACCTCCGATGATCCCGCCGCTTCCGACCCCTCCTCTACCGCCTCCGATGATCCCGCCGCTTCCGAGCCCTCCTCCTCTTGAACCCCCTGTTCTTTTCTTCCTCTGCCTCCGTCGCGTCCCGCCACCATCCAGATATTCTCCCCTGCCTACCCACGCCACCGTGCTGAGCCTGCATTCTGGCTCCGCCGGATTACCGTCGGCGTCTTCCCATTTGCAGCCCCACCAGATGGTTTCTAGTGATCTCTCCAACTCCGAATCCATCCTGCTCGAGCCCCTTCGATGGCTACAACTACTGTCCTCCAACCTCAACCCAACATTCATCCTAGGGATCTTCGTTGTCTACGACCTCATCCAGGGCTTCTGGGCCTCCTCATCGACGCCTTCCCCGTCGGCAAGTACAGGCGGCAGCCGTACTTCGTGGCGGCCAGGGTATTGGGATACGTTTCCTCTCTGGCGCTCGCGCTGCTGGGTATTGGGAGAGCAGCAATCTTCTTCGCAGAGTACTGGGTTTCCTGGGTTTTTTGGTTTCGTGGGTTTTGAATCCCTCAATTGCAAGTTAACATTCAATTTCGACGATGATAGTGGATTTTGAAATCAAAATCCCTAATCCGCCAATCGTTGCTGACTCCGGTGACCTCGACGTCGCAAACTCTAAAGAAGAAATCGGAGGCAGAACCAAGAATAAAGAAGACATGTTCTCCATCCGAGCTGTTTGTTTCACCTTCTAAAGAGGGAAGAATTTTCCAGATTTGTGGTCGCCAAGAAGAAGAAGAAGAAGAAAGGAGAGGAGGTCGGTGGTGGACATGAGGTGAGTGGGGGAGAGAGAAAAGAGAAATTAATTTTTTAATTGAAATATGACATGGCATCTATGTGGCAAGTATTAATGAGTTGTCGCTTATGTGTCCGATGATTTGGCATCCTAGTTACTCTAACGTTAACCTAACTAACGGAGTTATTAACACCGTTAAAGTTTGTAACGGAAATGGCTAGATTTGGCATGCAACATTTAAAATCCTGGCTATTTCGTGTTTTCGAATAGTTATGGCTATATTTGTCACAAACGTGAAAGTTATGGCTATACAAGTGTATTTTGCCTTAATGTTATTGTCAAATAAAACCTTTTAACCTTTTTTTTTTGGGCTCAATAGTATAAGTTAAATGATAAAACTTGAAATTCTATTTCAAATTTCCTGCATCTCGAATGAAGGTTTAATAGATTCGTCTTCACAGTCATTTATTATTTTCTTATTTACAAAAAAAATACATCAGTAATGAGATTTGAACTGTGGCTTCTTCGAACAAAGATAAGAAAAATAACTAGTTACAATAAACACATTTGTGTGATCTTCTTCAATTAAAAACATACATAAAGCTTAAATCTGAAAAATTATAGGACTTTTCCACCATGGTTAGCAACCATAATGTCATTTATTCAAATATTGCATATCGAATTCCACTCTTGAATGTGTAAAAGCGATCTAGAATTCTTAACATAGACTTAGTTGTTACAACTACCATAAAGTAATAATATTTTTAAACACTGAACTTTTGAGTGAATATGAGGCACATGTGTCTTTAAGAGGGGTAAATATGAAAAGGTTGGGTGATGTTGGTTTGCCGAACGCGAATGAAACGACACTACTAATGTAAACAGGCCCAAATAGTGTCCCGACCCACTAAACGCTCAACCATCACCGTCTCTCCAAACTTCCCATCAGACTCAACAACCGGCAAACCTCCTCTATCTCTATTGTTACGCCATAACAATTTTTGGAGGGGTAAATATGGAAAGATTAAGTGTTGTTGGTTTGCCCAACGCGGCTGGAAAAGGCGCTACTTATGTAAACGGACCCAATAGTGTTCGACCCACTAAACGCTCAACCACCCGGGTTACTTTCGCTACATCTAATATAATAGTGAAATGAGAAATGTGCTTCCCCAATTACAAAATCCTTGCATCCATAGCAAAAGTACGAAGAGTAGTTTCGTCTTCACAATCATTTATTATTTTTTATTTATAGGAAAAATAGTAAGTGATGGGATTTGAATGTGATCTCTTTGAGAAAAGGCAAGAAACATAACCGTTTATACTAAACAAATTTGTTTAAACTTTTTAAATTAAAAACATACAGGAAGTTTAAATCTGAAAAATCACAGGAATTTTCCATCACAGTTAGCTAACCCACAAACTCTCCCCTAAATATTTTTTTAGTATTTGATACTTCTATTTTCATACTTTGTTTATTTTAATTAAATGTTAATAATTATTTCTATTTCTATTTCTATTTATCTTATAAAAGAAGAATAATTTTGAAATCGCAAGCCTAATGTCATTGGTGCAAATATTGCACATCGAATTGCAGTATTGGTTATTGAATGTGTAGAAGGAATACAAAATTATTGACATAGACTTATATAATGTAACTACCATAAAGCAACAATAGTTTTGAATATAGAAGTTTTGAGTGAATATAGGGCACCTGTGTCTTTAAGAGGGGTAAATATGGAAAGGTTGAGTGATGTTGGTTTGTCGAATGCAGATTGAAAAAGCGCAACAAATGTAAACAAGTCTAAATGGTGTCCCGATCTACTAAACGCTTAACCATCGTCGTCTCTCCAAATCTTCTCATCGGACTCGACAACCGCCTAACCTCCTCCACCTATATTGTTACGCAAAGCAATTTTCGAAGGAGAAAATATGGAAATGTTGAGTGTTTTTGCTTGGAGAGCTGATTGATGGGTTATTTAGTTTCTCTGACAATAATGTGTGATCTCTTAACATCGTTTCATTTGGTTGATCTTCTATGTTGACTTTTGAGTTGATTAAAGATAAATAGATATACTTTTTGTTGCTTTTGTTATGATACTCATTTTCAGTATCATCATTTTTCTGATTTGAAATGTTTTGTGGTTAGTTTCCAGTAAACAAAGACTATTCTGATTTTTTTTTTATGAAGGTGAAAGTTGTATTAAAAGAAGAAGAATCTGATACAAATGGGCACCAGGAGTGCAGCCAAAAGAAAGAGACACAAAAGGAAAGAAAGAACGACAAAAGAACAGGGGAAAAACAAACACAAGAAGGATCAAAGGATTAAGGAAGCCAGGAGTCCCCTGATCCAAACAGCAACAGCAGGAAAACAAACGAAGGGATCAACAAAGCCACCGCACAACCAGTGCTCGCTCAGCTCCCAAAAAAATCATCACGAAGACCCTGCAACAAGCCAATCTACCCAGAAAACAAGCGGCCAGGGAAAGCTCAAAGACCCGGCCTTCCGCGGGGCGCAGACAGACGCCAACCTTAAAGAATCCGGTACCGAAACACCTGAAGCCAGGCAGCGACTGAGATGCGATCCGCTTTGCCTTTGGTTGTGATCCACCTTGATATGTTATTGATTGATCTTGTAGCAATCCGATCTGGACTGGATGAGACATTATGAAAAAATCTCTGGTTTCGCTCGAGCCAAATGAACCAGGAAACACCATGAAAAGCACAGTATTTAACCCATCCTTCAAAGCTGCTAGGAATAGAAACAAGCCAATTCTCAATAGTTGCTGCGGGATTAGCACCCACCGGCAGATTTGTAAAACTGCAACCCTTCTCAAACTCTTTCTACACCTGTCTGGTAAAGTTGCATCTAATCAGAATATGCTCTATCGATTCCTCTTCCTTACAACATAGCTCACAACGATTAGCCAGCTGCACGCCACGCTTCTTTAATGTATCAAGAGTTAGAGTTCTTTTAAGCGTAGCAATCCAAACAAACACACAAATCTTTCCCAGAACCACCTTTCTCCAGACCGACTTGGAGGGGAAATTAGGCATCCCAGCAAAGTTATCCTCAATGATTGCCCTGTACATCGATTTAACTGTAAAGCCCGTTTCCGGGTTAGGCTGCCAAACAACTCTGCAAGGACTGTTAATTCTGGATTTAAAGTCATAAGAATTAAGAATGGAAAGTAAGTTCAACCTCTCTCGCTCAGCCCCTCCTCTCAACACAACATTAATGTCAAGATTGATAATGAAATTCTCACCTGAGAGTTCCACGACGTCGCTGATCTTAGCTTCCGGGTTAGAGGCAACGACGGCAACTCTTGGAAAGGCATCGACGAAGGTGAGGTTTGGATTCCACCGGTCAAACCAAAAGGAGACTTCAGAGCCATTTCCTGGATCAATAAAGGTGAACCTCCAAAAAAGATCACTGTCCCTCATAATATTAACCCAAACAGAAGTAGATCGACCCCTGCTTCTGCATCCTGTATGCCATTGTGAATGCCCGCTCGAGTATTTAATATCAATGAGGGATCTCCACCATGCATCTCTGCTTACTGCATATTTTCAGATCCACTTACAGAGCATAGCACTGTTGAAAGAGGCTAAATCCACAATTCCCAAACCTCCATTCTCTTTATGCGATTTACACAATTTCCACTCCACGAGAGGAGTTTTCTTCTTATCCCCAATACCACTCCACAGAAAGTCCCTTTGTAACTTCTCCAGAGTGGAGATCACTCCTTTAGGAGCTTTGAACAGAGAAAAGTAATACGTGGTGAGACTAGAAAG